AATGTGGGAAAACTTCACGCTTTTATTCAGACGTATGCTAAATTGAACGTGTCATTTTTGTTGCTAAGATACAAGAGCGAACGTATAATCTAGATGTAATTCTTTTGTGCTCAAGCTTTGATAGGACTATTTGAGTTCATGAGTGAGCAACTGACAGTCGTAGAGACTTTTACATACGAAGCATGAATTTTGACAATGAAAAAATAGCAAGCATAACGAGCATAGAAAGCAAAATTTGCTAGCTTCAGATTTTGAAGTTTCTATCGATTCACTGGATTATGTAACGAGTTTCCCATACCATTGTGTACAATATGTATTTTGTTGCACTTAATATTGATCGGCCGCTGTTAGTATACTGACTAGCGACCTTAAATTTACATAGGGCACTTGTGCTTAATGAGCAAAGGATTCCGAGACTGTACTTTTCTATGACTTTGATTATAATTTGCAGTAAAGGTAATGCGATACAAAACATGCACGACAATGTTCTTTTCATAGGATAATATAAGCACTGCTTCGCCACATTCGTGATTATATAATGATTATTGTAGTATTCTTGCTTACATGGAAAATCTCCATTTCTCTGCAAAATTACGACATTCGACTGCATACTGTAGGCTCATTCCAGTATAGATTAAGTTGAGACACTATATATTGTATTCTGCATTCGAAATACTGTCAGTTCCAAACTGGCCCTTCTAGCATGTGATATTGCTGAGTTGCGTTTTTTGAAAATCATTCCTGTGTTATAGCTATTTATTGTATTACCATATTTTAATTGTGCATGCGTGCTATTTGTTTGGTTTGGATGAATGTATAGAATTCTCTGGACATTTCAGGATGATATTATTGATGATGATGATTATGGAGCCCCGGATTTGGACGACTACTATGAACCTCCACCTCCTGTTCCTACAACCAACATTGTGGTCGACAAGATCACGAGTGAAGTCGTTAACACTGTTCAAAATGAAAATGTGAAGAAAGAAGTCAAAAATGAGGTAGTCAATTTTGAATACAACGAGATAGCGTGAAAATGTTTGCTCAGGTGGAAGATATGGAAGCTGAGCCAATCATCAAGGAAGTGGAGACGAAGCCAGCAACAGTCTCAGCAGCACAAACAATGCTTTCAGCAGCTGATTGGGATGATAGTCAAGAAAAGTAAGAATTATCATAACATTCAAAGAGTTATCATTCTGCTAAGCTAATATATTCATTGCCACAGAGTTAATTGAGTGCAGAGGGAAAAAATCTCCTAAAGCTTTACCTCATGTGTTACGAATTTAGCAAAAGAGGCACAGATGGTCATTTCCTGTTCCAAAATTAGCATTAAGGGCAGTGGAGAGGCAGAATGGACCCCTGTCGGATTTTGGTGGAGTTAGGA